ACCCAGCTGAGTCCCAGTGCAGCCCCAGGACTGGGATCAGGACTGGCGGAGCTGATTCAACTCCTGTGCCCACACAGCAGCAGCATTTTTGGACCCCACAAAGCTCAGAGCTGCTGTGGGGGTGGATAAAGTGTATTTACATAGCTCCCTACAGGACTTACACCTGTGTGAAGAGTAAGTCCACGGAGCTCTGTGCCTGGTGCATCCACAGAGGATGGATTCCGAGGGAAGTGCTCCCCTGCTGCTGGGTAAACACCTCGTATTGATGTTCCAGGTGCGAACTCGTGACAGCCCTGTTCTAATTACTGTTTTTATCATTCCTAATGACAGGCTTTAGGTTTCCAGGCTGCTTATGGATTTCAGAGGTGTGGAGTGACAGTTGCTCACTCAGAGCTCAGTGACCTCCTCCAGTGTGCAGGGTTTGGAGATGACTCCAGCCACCTCTCACACACAGATGGGTTCCTGGGCTTCTCCCGAGCACCACACGCTCCAGCAGCTCTCCAGGGAGTGCCCTCCTGCTGAGCAATCTGCTCTGAGTCACAACCCAGCTACTCCCTCCCCCTGCTCTGCCCCTTGCCCGTGTCACTCTCGGAGCATTGCTCCTTCCCTCTGCTGGCTTTTCCTGCGGTTTCTGAGCCCCGGCTGGCAGACGGCGCAGTGGAGCCCCCATGATCCCCTGCCTCCAGCCATCTGTCACCTGCCTGTCCTACACTCCCGGGGCTTTAGAGGTGACCCAGAGATAGATTTGTACCCCAGCATTGTGTCCCGGCTTCCCCCTGGGCTGGGGAGCCTCCGTGCCCCAAGGAGGAGCATTGTCAGTGCCATGCTGGCCTCTCCAACAGCAGCAGGAAGCACTGGCAGTCACCCTGATCCCAAGCCGTTCCTGGAGGAAGGAGTAGGTGTGAGGGGTTTGGACTGGCTCATGCAAAAAGGCTGAACAAAGCTTTCCTGGTGAGGAGTTTCACTGTGCTTGAGGAAAAACGATGTGGTCTTTTAAGCACATCCTTTGTTCCCAATCCTAAGGTTTTCCTGGATACTTGGCCTTGCTGTGCTGAAGGGGAACATCTATCCCTTGACCTTGACTTGTCATCTGCAAAGAAATAATCTAAAAATCCCTACAGAGATGCACTGTGCCAGGGGGTGCTGGAACATTCCAGGGACTCTGAGCCTGTGCAGACCTGGGTGGTTTGTCCTGCCGGAGCAGAGTCCTGCCTTAGCTGTTGGCGGGGCAACAGGGCGGTTTTTCATCCTTTAAAAAGCCTGAATTTATCTTCCAGCAGCTTCAGCTCTTCATTTAATCCTTTGACTCGTTGGTGAGAAGTCTGTGGATGGTGCACTGGCCACCTGACTCCAGGTATTCATTCACTCCATTGGCAAAGTGCTGTGTGGAAATGAGTCGCGGATGGGCTGGGGAAGTTGAGGAGCTTCCTGAGCCTTGGGGGGATGAGAGCAAGAGGGACAAGAGTGTCTTACAAGGAGCATGGGAATAGGAGAGGTGAGCTCTCAGACAGAGCAGGGCTGTGTTTGCTGTGGAAACCGATTCTCCTGGCCTGAAAAAGACAAGCTGTGCCTGCTAATGCTGCTTCCTGCTCCTAACCTGCTCAGGAGATAAACCAGGGATTTCAGCCTCCAATCCTGCACCTTTCCCCGGTAGTAAATACACGTGGCATTACTGAGTGATGTCATGGCTGGAGCACATCCCAGCGAGGCCAAGCCTGGATCAGGTTATATCTGTCCTCTCAGAGTATTGGCTTATTCCCAAAGGAGCATATTGCCAGTCCAAGGGCAGTGAGTGGAGCCACCTTTCCCAAGGTCACCTCTGGCACACACAGAGGGACAGCCCTCACTCCTGCAGTGCAGCCTGAGCCACCCACGCAGGGCAGAACCTCCTGACTCTCCTTTCTGGAGTCGCTTTGTGTTTGCACCAGCGAGGCAAAGATCTCCAGCCCTCCTTCATGGAGTCATGGAATGGTTTGGATTGGGAGGGTTAAAGCCCAACCTGTTCCACTCCCTGCCATGGGCAGGAACACCTTCCACTAGACCAGCTTGCTCCAAGCCCCATCCAACCTGGCCTTGGACACTTGCAGCCACAGCTTCTCTGGCCAAACTTATCATCTGGTTGCCTTTGAGGCACAGTGTGAAAAGAGGGATAGAAATCCTGTCAGCTAAAGCTATGTGGTGTGTCTGTAAATAACCAGCACTCCCAGTTCAGCACAGCTTTGTCACATCCAGGGCTGGATCTCCTGGCTGGGAGTGTCACAGCAGGAGCTCAGCTGCCCAACAGACCTGAGACACTGCTTGTGTCCTCTTCCACCGCTGGAAGGGTTCAAAATACATGTGGATGTGGCACTTCATGATATGCTTTAGTGGGCGTGGTGGGATTTGGTCAAAGGTTGGTGATCTTAGAGGTCTTTTCCAACCTTACTGATTCCATGATTGTTTCAGTCAAGGAGCCCTCCCAGCTCCAGCTGGGGTGGTCTGTGCTGGGATTGGGCCTGTTCAGTTTCCATTGCCTTCCATTGTTGAAAAGGTGGGAGTTTGTCCTCGCTGGAGCTGAGCTGTGAGGGAGGTGTGGAGGAACCCAGCTGTCTGTCCCTCAGGTCAGCAGTCCCGGCTCAGCAAACTCACCTCCTGAAATGCTGCAACTCCTTAAAAAAAAATCAGGCTTAATTAGCAACAGGTCTCCTGGGAAAATGCTGGAAGCGAGGTGTGACACACCTGGAGTGAGATGGCAGCAGGGATGTGTGTGGAGCTGGCACTCACAGGGCTGGGGGTCCCACAACCCTCAGCTCCTGGCACACTGTGCCGTGGTTGCTGTATCTGTGTTTCCCACTGGAAATCCACGCCTCTGCTAGAGGGAACCTCCATTACCAAAGGAGCCTTTTTCTCCTCAAAGTGTAGCTGAAGGGTCAGTAACCCCCCCAGGGATCCTGCTGCAGGTGGGTGAGGAGGTGACACTCACCTGGGCTCTGGGAGCCTCACAGGGACCAGCCTGGGCCGGGACAAGGGACAGAGATCCCTCCCCAGGCAGCTCAGGTGACCCTCTCCTCCCAGCCTGGGAGCAGTGCAGTGTCCCCGGGCATTCCAGGTGGGATCTGTAGGTGGAGGTGCCCCCGGCTGCCACAGCCCCGCAGAGCTGTGACCAGCCCTTACAGACTAATTGGCACCAGTTTAATTGTGTGCCTGTAAATTGAGCTGTTTGACCCAGACAGTGACAACAAAGGGACTTGCAGGAGTGAGGGGACATTAACGTGCCAATGGACCTTGCTGGGGGCAGGTGACAATTAACATCCTAAAAGATTCTTCTGGAAAAAGGATCCTAATTCAGACGTGCTGAAGAGGAAGATAATTGCTTACTACTACAACAACAACTATTATTATCATTATTATTTTCTGTAGCCCTGCAGCCTCCCATTAAAAATGCCTGAGAAGCTTTATGACAGGTAATTTAGGAGAACTAACAGCAGTGATACTAAAAACTGTCCTGGAGCCACCTGAGGGGAGAAACACGGACAGGAGGGAGGAGAAAACACTGCAGAAACCATCCTGGTCAGCAAGATGGGAGAGGAGAAGGAAACACAAACTTCCTGGGAAGGGGAGATCAGACCTGCAGGCCTGGCAAACACAATATTCCTTTCAGTCAGGCAAGAAGGTGCAATTGTGGCAGGAGGGAGGTGATGTTTGCTCCCAACTGCCCCAGAGGAACTGCAGAGGGCACTGAGCCCACCCAATCCACTGTGCACAGGACAGGAAGGGATTACACTGGATTTGGGATCAGGGACTTAAAATACAACGACCTCGACCTCTGTGATCGCTGTGTGAGGGGAACTCACCAGTACTCGTCCCTTGGCACGCTTGGAGTCACTGACTCACACCTCGAGTGCTGTGTCCAGTCCTGGGGCCCTCCAGGACAAACACTGATGGGCTGGAGCATGTCCAGAGAAGGGAACGGAGATGGGGAAGGATCTGGAGCACCAAGAGGGGCTGAGGGAGCTGGAGGAGCTCAGCCTGGAGAAGAGGAGGCTCAGGGGAGTCCTTCTCACTCTCCCCAACTCCCTGACAGGAGGGTGGACCCAGGTGGGGTTCAGGCTCTGCTCCCAGGGAACAAGGGAAGGATGAAATGGCCTCCAGCTGTGCCAGGAGAGGTTCAGGTTGGACATCGGGAGGAATTTCTTCCTGGAAAGGGCTGTCAGGCATTGGAATGGGCTGCCTGAGGAGGCGGTGGAGTCCCTATCCCTGAAGGTGTCCAAGGCCAGGTTGAACAGGGCTTGTGGCAACCTGTGCCAGGGCCTCACCGCCCTTGCAGCACATATAATGCATGTATTTGTTCCCTCACTTTCCCTTTCAGCACAGTTCTCAGTCCCTCACTCCCACTGCTGGTTTCTGCCAGAGTCCACTCCTACCTGGGGCTGTCAGAAGGGGCACCTTCCTTAGGGACAGCTGCACAGCGAGGGAACTGGTCTCGTTCCTCTCTGCTCAGTCTAACACTGCAGAGGTTGTTTCTTCCCTTCCCTGCCAACACAATTACGTGGGGTTAGAGGGATAAAATCCCAGAGCACTCTGTGCTCACGCCACTCCAGTGCCCGGCCTCTGCAGTGCTTGCCGCGGCCTCCCTCTCTCCCTGCAGGAACCTTTTCGCTCCTCCCAGGTGTCGTTTCTCCTCCTGCCTAAATATTTGGGGGCCAGGCCCTGCCTGCGCTGCAGAGCCTGGGCAAGGCCGGGCTGGGATGGAACGGCCTGCTCCAGGGGACGGGGCCGAACCAGCCCTGGCCGGGATCTCACCCGCATTCCGCTCTAAGGGCAGCAGGCCCAAGCCAGGCCCCGAGATCGAGTCAGGCCTTACCCGGGTGCTCAGACCCGGCCGACCCTCCCGTTGCCCCGGTAACGGCGCGACCTGTCCCGACAGCCCCCGCGCGGCACCGCCCAGCCTCCCGCCATCTTGAGGGCTGGCAGCGCGGCGCCGCCGGCCCGTTTCCAAGATGGCCGCCCGGCCCTCAGCAGGCACTTCCGGCCACTCTCAGCCGCGGTCCCGGTGGTGCCGCTGCGGCTCGTCTCGGGCCCGTCCCTCCCGTGAGGGCTCCGGGGAGCGGCACCCGCCGACATGACGCTGCTCCTGCGACTGGGGCTGCTCCGCGGCCGCTGCAGCTGTTGGAGGCCGCCCGCCGCCACCTGGGCCCGGCCCCGCGGCGGTGCCCTCGGCGGGGGACGCGGCCTGCAGGTAACGAGGCCTCACCGAGCACCGGGGGAGGAGGAGAACGGGGCGGGAGGGACGTTTGGCTGTTCGGGAGGGTCCTCAGGTTGTACCATCCCGAAGGTCCGTCGTGTCAGCGCTGTTGGACAGTGACTTGGGAAACACCGTGGGAACCATGGAATGGTTTGGGTTGGAAGGGACTCTAAAGCCCATCTCATTCCACCCCCTGCCATGGGTAGGGACACATTCCACTAGACCAGGTTGCTCCAAGCCCCATCCAGCCTGGCCTTGAACATTTCCAGGGATGGGGCAGCCACAGCTTCTCTGGGCAACCTGTGCCAGGGCCTCACCACCCTCACAGGGAAGAATTCCTTCCCAACATCCGATCTAACCCTGCCCTCTGGCAACGGGAAGCCATACGCCTTTGTCCTGTCACTCCAGGCCCTTGTCCAAAGTCCCTCTCCAGCTCTCTTTGAGCCCCTTTAGGCACTGGAAGGGGCTCTAAGGTCTCCCTGGAGCCTTCTCTTCTCCAGGTGAACAACCCCAACTCCATCATCCTGATCAACTGACGATATGGAGGGAAAACAATGTGGGATATTGTTTCATGCCAGGCTTTTCTGGGATCAGTTTAAGTCTTAAGCTGTTCTGTTCTAGACAGCATCAATCCCAAGGATGCCATCTTGCCCCAGCACAAGCTGGAAAAAATGGGGAAAAACTGGTGAAGGGTTTCAGCCTGGTGTAGGAATTGGAACCTGTGCAGTGGAGGGGAAACAGGGAATCACATCGGAGAAGGGCCAGACTTTTATTCAGTGAGAGAATTAGTAAATATTAGTTCAAATGTTCCTGAAGTTGCCTTTAAATGTGAATATTCACTGCAGGATTCCTGTTGAGTTTCCTTCAGGGATACAGCTGTGCTGGCTTTGCTGCTGTACAGGAGGGTTAGAAATCCTTAAAATATCCTTTTTAAAGTCCTTTTTTCCTTAAAAAACTTCCTCCTAATGTAGGGAATCTTTACGTTTTAAGAACTGATTTCCAACATACCTTTAGAATGAAAAACAGAGATACAGGAAGACTAAATATTAAGTGTTTTGAGTATGTGTTTCTGTTTATACCTGTGCTTTCTTTAAACTGGGTTATAAACAACATCTCCAAAGTCATGTGGGAAGTGCACAGAACAACCAGGAGTCACATTCAGGGCTCCCAGCTGCTCTCCTCACACTCACCCACAACATTCCCGTGCTTAGGAATGTGAGTCTCAGGGAATACGGAGGTTGAGCCCTCACAGCACTGTTCCAATGATTGTGTTGTTTTCCTTTCTCTCCTCCCTCAGACTCTCTTGGCACAAACACTTTCCCCCCCACGTCAAGGTCTTGGTGGAGTCTTGGTGAAACAGCACTTAATCCGAGATCCAGTCAGACTTTGGAATCTCCTGGGTGAGTCCTGAGGAGGAGGAAGGGAAAAGGTCTGATTTGATAAGAGAACTGACCTTTCCTAACTTTCTCTCTGCCTTCCCAAAACTGCAGCAGAGCTGTTCTGTTCCTGACTGTGGGAGCTGGGGTTTTTTGCAGGGATTTAGGGTTTGGTTTGGTGACAGGGATGAACAGTCCTTCCCACAGGGATCTCAGGGGATTAAGGAAGCACTGGAGTCATTAGAACTACAGCTAATTTTAAATCTGCCTATTTTAAAGTAGAGAATCTTTCTCTTCCTCATCAGCAAAGCCCCAGACAAAAATGTCTTCACTTTTGTCTGAAATCCCATTGAATGGCCTTGCTGGAAACCTTGGAGTCATGGAATGGTTTGGGTTGGAAGGGGCCTTAAACATCATATTCCAAACCCACTGCCATAGGCAAGGACACCTTCCACTTGACCAGGTTGCTCCAAGCCCTGTCCCCACTGGCTTCAGACACTTCCAGTGATGGTGCAGCCACAGCATTTTCTGAGCAACCTGATTTAACTCCAGTACCTGTTTTTCCTTTAATGAGCATTTCTAGTCCCTGGTGTGGGGCTGTTCCTATCTTCCCATTCCAGTGTTAGCCATGGTTCTGCCTTGGAAATTGTGTCCATTTTTCAGCACTAAAGCAATTTCTCCAAATTATTTCTGCCATGCAATTAATACAATCTCTGACCAAAGAGATTTTGGTTGTATTGTAAAAAATATATACATTCTATAAGAGAACAGAAGGAGTCTCCCTCAAGTGAGGCTGTCCTAGTTCCTTGCCACATGAAGCTCCTTGTCTGGGGGAATGTGGAGCTTTGCCTCCTCTGCCTTTGGAACTCACATGGATTTCTGCCATCCTCAGTCACCCTCTCACTGCCCTCAGCAGTAACCACTGACCTCTGCTTGCCTGCAGGTAGCACCTACTGGTTTACTACTTCCAACTCTTGGAGGAGTAGCCAGAAGGATGGAGGATCCAAGAAGAAATCTCCACAGGAGGAGGACGGTATGTGTGTGCCAAAAAGAGATTTACTGAACCAAACTGTGTGTGTGTGAGGGGAAGGGACAGACAGGGAGGGAGATCCACCTTCATGCTCCTGCCTCTGGGTAGTTCCCTGTACCTGTAACTCACCACCTGTACAATCTGTGGCTAAGAGCAAGTTTGAAGGAGTATTTTGGCGTAGATGATGGACTGTAAGATTTAAATCAGATCATAGAAATTATAGAATCATGGAATGGTTTGGGTGGGAAGGGACCTTAAAGCTCATCCAGTTCCAAACCCTACTGTGGCTCCAGACCTTTGTACTGTGAGTTGGGAGGCACTTAATGTCATGCTTAAGTGACACAGTGTAATAGAATTTCATAATTTATTTTATAAACCTTTCCCTGGGTATCATGATGTGAGCAGTTGCCTTTTCCTTTGTTGTGCTTAATAGTCAAATCCTCTTGGACTTTTTACTTTTTAAGTGAGAGGCCAGTTGCTGCTGCTGACAGCCTGGCTGGTGTCACTACAGTGTCCTTAAGGCCACAGCAGTGGCTTTTCCTGCTTGATCATTTAACTGGGATGAAGTCTGCAGTGGGATGTGAGTGCAGGTATCATGGAGTCCTTGGGAAGGAAGTTGGAGTTTGTTGCCCTTGGTGTGCAAGGCCACAGAATGACTGAGCACAGCCCCTGGAGGTGTTGTAGCTGTTAAAATCAGTAAACAGCAACGCTCCATGTTCAGTGGCCTCTTTTCTCCTGTGATTAATGGATAGCCTGGCTTTGGGAGCAGGAATGCTGCCCCGTGTCTCCAGGGGAACACTTGTCTCTGCAGTAATTATTAAAAAGAACTCTTCAAACTGTCACCACAGCGCTTGCAAAGATTTTAATCAGAGAGTTCAGATTTGGGGTTAATGGCAAATCATTGCTTGGTGGAGGCTCATGGAGACTCAAAAGCTGGATGTATTCCCACAGCTGTTGCTTGCAAGTGTCACATCCAGTCGCTGGGACTCATTTCCTGAATACTGTGGGGTGGCTTGTGGTACAGTGTGGATGTTGTGCTGTACAGACAGTCACACTTTACCTCAGCTGAGAAAGAGATTGATATTGTCCTTAATTAAATGCAGAGTCGAGGAAATCTTGGTATTGCCTTCCAGCTTTCTAGAAATAGAGTTTTCCCCTGAAATTACTCAGCTGCAGGTTAAAGGTCCTAGACAAGTCTAATTCCTAGAAACAAGGGAAGTTGTGTCAGGATGTCTAATGGGCATCTCTCCCCCCGGGGTGATGTTTTTGTGATTACACCCCCAGTTGTGTGTGTTTAGGGCAGGTTATGGGCCTCCACTTGGTCTGAAATGTAATACAGAAAAGTGTTTTAGCAGGAGTTGACTCTGACACCTCTGAGGAACTTGCACAGCCATAGATGGACTTTTCCTGTCAGAACTCACTTTCCTGCAGTAGTTTCTTTTCTCTGTAGAATCTTTTTATTTAGAACTTGCTCAGCTTTTCAGGATGTTGCCCAGACTATTCCTCTATCATTCATAGATATAGATACATATACGTATCTATATATATAAAAATTTTCTTTAATAAGACTGTCATGGATGTCATCCTGCAGCTTTGGGATGAATTCTTTAGTCCTAACAAAGCTGGATCCAGCAGATAACACAGAGTGAGGGGATGGCAGTGGAGAACAAAGGAGGTGGGCTGGACGCGGTGTCTGAGCTTGTCACGGCCTTCTGAAATGATGATTTCTCTGCCAAGCTGCTTTGTGTCTATTTAGGAACAGGCCTTTCCTTTCCAGCATGGAGCAGAGCTGGGAACCAGTGAAAAATGATGCTGTGCCTCTGAAGGACAGAGGACTTTTTTTAGCAGCTGCCTGGGTCATATGTTTGTCCCTGGGTTTTGTTGCTGCGTGCGTAGGGTCTAATTGGTGGCCGGTGATAAATGCTGGTGTCAGGACACTGGTTATGAATTTGCAAATAAATCGAATCTGGGCTGCAGCACTGGTGCATTAGAGCCCAGTGGCACAGAATTAATTTATTTCTGGGTGTAGAAGGGTATTTATGTGTGCCGTGCTGGTGGTGCTGTTAAATTGTATATCAAGAGCAAGTACTAAATTATATATCGAGAACACTCACGTGACTGGAAAGAGGAGGAGATATTTGTTGTCATCTGAACAACTCAAACACTGGCCAGCAGTGACATTGAACTGTGCTGTGGCAGTCCTTTACAGCCCATAGAATTGTAAATTTGCCTGTGTAGTGCAGAAAAAAAAATGCTAGGAGACTGGAGAAAAGGTTTGGTGGCAAATATTGAAATAGAACATCCCTTTTCCTTGTGTTGTTGCTTCAGTGTGGCACTAGTACAGTAAAGTCAGGGAAAGCACATCCAGTATGGGAATTTCTCTTGGGTGCAGATCCTTAATGTGGGCAAGTTATCAACCCCTTTGAAACATGAAGTGAGTTGTATAACATGGAGGAAAATCTGGGCAATTTGGTTAACAGGCAGATGGATTTGCAGTGTATTTGTGTCCTGTGCTACCTCACATTCTTTGCAATTGCAGGTATTTCCTGAGGTAGGGGCAGTGGTGTTGGTGTCACGGTGCTGGTGCCAGCAGGTCATTGAATTGTGCTGTGGGATTTACCAGTGACATTGGGTTTAGTCCTAATATTTCCCATTGGATACATTGGCAACAGCCTGAGGACTGGGTGGTGTGGACCCATGTTATATAAAGTGGGTTATAATCATTCTGGAGTTTGATTTCTAACAACAAGAGTCCACTGGCTTTATTTGACCCCCATCCATATGGGGCCAGGCAAGTGAGAGTCTCTCATTTTGGACTGGAATGTTCTTTGGTGGGATTTTAGTGGGTTTGGTGCACTAGGACCATGTGAAGCCCAGTCCTGCAGGAGAAACCAAACATGCAACACAAAAACCCTGACAGGTTCCATTGTGTTAATCTTTGTCATTTAATTATCTCTTCTTTGGGTCAGAAAGCTTCACAATTACGTGTTTGTCTTTTTTCCTCTGGATCTTTCTTCTTAAGAGGAGGAAAAACGCAGGAGAAGGGAAAATCAGATGCACCTGGAACGTCTGCGGGCACTGCTCGTCCTCACCTTCATCGTGCTGATGCTTCGGTTCCTGGTCAGTGACAACAGAGAAGGCACCAACATCTCCTGGAACTACTTTGTGAATGAGATGTTGGCCAAGGGGGAGGTGCAGAGGATCGAGGTGGTGCCAGAGAGTGACATCGTAGAGATCTACCTGCACCCAGGAGGAACTCCCCATGGACAAGTTGTGAGTGACTTTGTACACAAATTTGCTCTTCTCTGATTCTTCTCTTAATTGTATTTGAAGTTCAGGGGACTTCTATTACTCATATCAACCTGGAAATTAAGACTTTTAGTTCAAATTGTAAAAATAATCAACAATGGTCTGGGAAAAAAATATTTTGTATGTCTAAAAAGCTGGAAAATTCAATAGTTTTTTCAGTCGGATATAGGAGAACATGTCCAGGAGATTGTAAACTCTTATTACTGGATCTTCTTTTGAAAGTTTTCTCCTATTTGGATTTTAGTTTTGAGTGTTCTGTCAAACTCCATCAACCTTCCTTCCTAAACCTTCCAAAATGGAAACAAAGCAAAGTTTGATCATGTGTTTACATCCAGGAATTACCAGTAAGAATTGTTACAAACTGGCTTGAGACATTAAAATACTGAAATCGAATCATGGAATCACAGAATGGTTTGGGTCGGAAAGGACGTTAAAGATCATCCAGTTCCACCCCCTGCCGTGGTCAGGGAACCAGAACAGGGAACTGGTTTTGGATACATCTCATTTCGTTTGCATCTCCTTGTTTATAGAGAGCTGAGGCTTAGTTCCTGACTTTTATGCTTTTATAAGGTGCTGGAAAGACCAGAGGGTTCCTAAATTCATTTGGAGTCCTCTGCTCGTGAGTTCATAGGTGCAGGATCAAAGGGTGTAACATAAAGATAATTTTTCCCTGACCTGTCAATGCTGTGCACCTCTGCTCCTTGCTTATGTATTTATACCTAATAAATAGTACTGACCTGCTGCTCTGGCCTGCCTGTCCCCAGAATGTGACCCTGCTGTACACCATGCGTGTGGCAAACATCGACAAATTCGAGGAGAAGCTGAGAGCTGTGGAGGATGAGCTGAATATTGATGAGAGAGAGAGAATCCCCATTTCCTACAAACACCCTGGCTTTTATGGAAAGTATGACATACATTTGTCCTTACTGTTGATCCTGTGTTGGTGACAACATCCCTCGCTTGGAGGGGAAAGTCACTTTCAGCTTAATGTTATGTAAATATAGAGCAAAAATGTGGGCTCGGATTTGGAGCATTTAATGAATATTTCTGAAAGATAAGGTGCTCTAGATGTACCTTAATGTTTCCAAAATGAGGGTCCCAGAAAGGTGTCTGGATTTGCAGGATGCAGCAGACAAAATATTTTGGGTTAGAGTCACCAAGTCTGCATTCTTGCCCAGCTGAGCACTTTTTGTCCTTATAATCAATTATTCAAGTGCAGAGTGTGATTAAAAAATCCTGACACAAGTGATGTTACATCCTGGTCTGTGCAGAAAGCTAGGGGTGCACTGAAATGCTTCCAGGGAGGCCTGTGGTGGTTCAGGCTGTAAAATTAAACAGTTTTGGCCTGTTTGTCCCAGAGCTGCAGGTCTGAGCACAGCCTACTCTGGTGCCACATGCTGGGTGGAGCAGCTTTGGTGCCAGCACACCAAACCTCAGTGAGAGGAGCACTTCTGCTAAACTTACAGCCCTTCCTGCTGCCCAGAACAAGAGCCTTTGCTTTCAAAAAAATGCTCAATACTTTTAATTCGGAAGTAAACTGTTAGGAGCAAGAAGAGTGAATAGCAGATCTTACCTGCTGAAGTGGCCTGGTCACTTGCTTGTGCACCAGGCAGAGCGTGTCACATGCTGTTAGTAGCTCAGTGGATTTGGACAGGGTGATTTTCCCTCTGGAGATGGCCAGTGTGTGTAATTCCTCCTCCCAGGCATCTTGCCAAAGTGTGAAACAATGTTGTGTTTGTTTGTGAATGGATACCTGGGCTGGATTTTGTCTGGTACTTGTCCTCTGATCAACTTTGCACATTTTTAATATATAGTTTATATGACAATAAGCTTTTTTAATTGATCGTGCAGTACAAGCCCTTTAGTTCAAACTCAGAACTTGCTAATTTTTTTCAGACTTGTGTGTAGCAGGAAGAGAGGACTGAACAGACAATCAGCCACCAACACAAGCTGTTTCCCTGCCCCTCAAAAGAGATTTAAAAAAAAAATTTGTAAGGGTTGTGATGAGGTGTGAAGTCTCTCAGGAGACCTGATGAATGTCTGGAGAATTCAGAGTCAGTCTGGAGTTTGAATGTGTGAGGTGCAGAGCCCTTGGACTCGGCTCACTCTGCAGTGTGGGTGCTCAGGGTGTTTCAGAATTAATCCTGTTTGCAGAGCAGACAAACTGAAGGTGACTTTCAGATTTCAGTGTTACCTTTGAATTTCTCACTGAGCAGAAACAAATGCAGCTGGGTATAGAGCTCATTCTGGTCCTTTGCTTCAGTAAATCGTCCCTCTGTGAGAGGCGGAACACACGTTCCTGGTGTAAAGATAAGGCACAGAAGTCTGGAGAGGGCAGATGATTTCACAGGCAAGTGGAGCAGAACAGGGGCCCACCAGTTTCAACCTGTCATCTGACATGGGATCATTTTTCGTGCTCTTGGGGCATCCTTTGTTTAGAGCTCAAAAAATATTTATCCTCAACATGTTTGTCCTGTAACTGTGTTAGACTGGAGTGTCATCTCTGCTCCTCATCTCCCTCCTAATGCAATGGGTATTCCAAAGGATCTGGAAAATTGACAGTGTTGGTGCTGGAGCACTTCTTTGTGCCATAAAGGACTCCTGAGAGATTCGACCAGGGAGGGCAAGGCAGGCTCTTAATGGGAGACCAAGCCTGGAATTTCTGCCAGTGTGGGATTAAGTGAGTTGGAATCTCCCTAGTGTTACCAGACACAGGTCTTCTGCAGCGAGCTCCCTTTGGATGCACTGCCAGCCCCACTGGATTCTACTCTGGGTGTGACCTGACTGCCTGAAGGTCCTGTTTGTTTTAGAAGTAGAAATGCCTCTGAAGGGGATGGTGAGGTTGAATTCCTTCCGCAGCTGTAGGCAGTGTTTGCCAGTGTCCTCTGCTTAACTTCTCAGGTTATGTAATAGTTGGGGTTTGGGGTTTTGTATATCTGTATAAAAGTCTGTAAAAGTTCCATTTTCTTAGTTTTGTCTGCTCGTAGCCTAAATGCCAGGACCTTTAAACACTGAAAATAGCCATGTTGGGGAATATTGACCAGGTTGCATCTGAATACTTCACTTTGTACCTGTCTTTGTCCTTCTAGTGATGTCCTTTCCCTGATAGTGACATTGGTGGCCGTGTCCATGCTGTGGAGCATCTTCCGCCTCTTCAGGGTGGCGAGTCGGGCCGGAGGGTTCAACGCCTTTGTGAGTAGCCTGGATTTTGAGGATGTTTTGCAGCCTGCGGGTAGTCCTGGCTTCTGCTGGGCTATCTCCTCCCCTTTTTCCCAGCAAAGTCAGTGCAGGATAAGGATGAACTGGTGCCCAGGACTCTCCAGTCTTGCCACATCTTGCATCCTGTGCTGATCATCTCCCTGGCTGGTACTTTAACTGGCCTTAGCCGAGATCCGTTCCCTTCCCAAAGGCAGGAAGGGCTGAGCTCAGGGAATTTCAGTCCAGTTTGCTGTTTTCAAAGCTTGCTAATGAGCTGCAGCTGCAGATGGTGTTTTTCACTGGGCCCTGCCAACATGCCTCCCATACAGCCAGAAGTAGGAATTGCTGCTTTTTGCAAAATGAGTTCTCAATTTATAAAATATGTTCAGATTCTGGAGTTCATTATGTGTTGGCCTGTTCCGCTCCTGCCGCATGTCTCGCTTGCAACATCAGGCAAACCTCCTCCTCCCCTCTCCCACTCTGGCCTGGATCAGCTGATGAAAGTGCAGGAGTCAGCCCGGGGTGCTCTGCCACTGACCACAGGGACTGGGGATGAAAACACAGTGAATTCAGCCCCTTGTTGGATTTCCCACTCAGTCTCCTCCGCAGTTCTCTTTGGCTTTGAAATCCTCTTTGAACAAAAGGATGCAGCTGCTCTCAGAAAGAGTATTTCAAAGAAGTGTTGAGTAATGAGGCCTTGAGGACTGGTTTGTGTCCTTGCCTAAGTGGGGACAGCCAGGCCCCAAGTTTAACTCTTTCTTTGGGCATTTCGGAGGCCTCAGAAGCTGTAAACTTTCTTGTGAAAGAAAAATCCTCCGCAGTCCCTGTTTTGGGTAGAACATACTGAGCAGTTACGAGTAGGATGTTTAACTGAATTCTTGGTTTGACTCTCACTGTGGCTTCACATGCACCAGGGGACGGAAACGTGGTGGCTGTTCAGTTTGAGAACCTGCAGTTCTGGCCTGGGGTGTGTTCAGCAGAAACCAGCAGCAGTATCAGACAGCAGTGCAAAATGTCTGTTTCTATGCATTTGTAAGAAATTATTAGTAATTATTTACTACTGACAATTATTTACCATCAACACATATTCCTGAAAGCTCTATCTGTCCCATGTGGTATTAAGGATCAGAGCATTTACAAATCAGGGAGAAGATCCTAAGTGAGGTTCTGGATGCATGTTTTTAAGAAGTATCCCTTCCTGGTCTACATGGAGTTTGAGATGGATTGTGTTGGGACTATTACTGCAGATTTATTCTGTCACTTCCCAACGTGGATAAATGAAGTTTGAGTCAACAATCCATCTGAGAAGTGTCTTCAGAGCAGAACTAGTGAAACACCAGTGCTTTGATGGGCACTTCAGTGGTGTTTCGTAGGGACAGCTCATCCTTGGGCTGTGCTGGGCTGGCTATCTCCCAAAATATAGCAAACAGCCTTTTTTCAGACTGTTGTCCAAGTTTTTTCAGTCCTTGTGCTGCCTTCCACAGAACCAGCTGAAGATGGCTCGTTTCACCATTGTGGATGGGAAATCTGGTAAAGGGATTGGCTTCAAGGATGTAGCAGGAATGCATGAGGCAAAAATGGAAGTCAAGGAATTTGTGGACTATTTAAAGGTATATAAAAGTAGAACAAAATAAGTGTATTCTGGGATAGATGGCTGACCTGGGGAGGAGGGGGTGTTCCGCTCTTCATTCTTCATGATTCTGGGCAGCCTCTCATGAAATAAGCTCTGTATTTCCAGTTCCTATGCAGATGGAGCTGCTCCCATTGGCAGCTCAGAGCTGCCCAGGCTGAAAACAGTCTCAGGAAGCTCTGGGAGGCCACACTGTGGTGCAGGTGTGGTGGGAACTGTGGGTCTGACCTGCTGTGTTTCCTTCCAGAATCCCGATCGCTATCTCCAGCTCGGGGCCAAGGTGCCCAAGGGCGCCCTGTTACTGGGCCCGCCGGGCTGTGGGAAGACACTGCTGGCCAAGGCTGTGGCTACAGAAGCCCAGGTGCCGTTTTTGGCCATGGCAGGCTCCGAGTTTGTGGAGGTGATTGGAGGTAAGGTACTCTGAGGATCTGGGGGGAGCTCACTCGCTCCGTTGTGCAGTCGGAGCTCGCCGGCTTTGCTGACAGGTTTAGGTACAAGGTTTCTCTGTCCTTGCCCTGCCCTGCAGGTCTGGGGGCTGCGCGGGTGCGGAGCCTGTTCCGGGAGGCGCAGGCTCGCGCCCCCTGCATCGTCTACATCGACGAGATTGACGCTGTGGGCAAGAAGCGTTCCACCAATGTGTCTGGCTTTGCCAATGCTGAGGAGGAGCAGACCTTAAACCAGCTGCTGGTGGAAATGGATGGTCAGTGTTTCTCCCTGCCCCTGTCTCCTCAGAGATCCAAGCTGTTGGCCTGTTTAGCTTTGACCTGCTTGAACATGCCTGGCCTCTCCAGCAAGTGTTCTCTTGCTGAAGTCTGAACCAGTCTGAGCCCATGTACCCCATCACTAGTCCCTGGTTCTGAAGGCACTGGAGTATATCCTCTCCAACTGTCCCTTTGGTAGGCAGGACTGCTCCGGAGCTGGTGGTGCCTGAGAAAGTGACTGGGCTCAGATCATGGAATCCCAGAATGGTTTGGGTGGGAAGGGATCGTAAAGCTCATCTCATTCCACCCCCTGCCATAGGCCAGGACACCTTCCACTAGCCCAGGTTGGTCCAAGTCCCATCCAACCTGGCCTTGAACACTTCCAGGGATGAGGAGTCCACAACCTCAGCCTCTGGGCAGCAGATTTTGAAGTGTGTGCTGTGATCATGTTGTGGAGAAAACCCCCTTGAAATCTAGACATTTACACAGGCTTTTAAGGGTTTGGGGCTAAATCTAGTAAATTTTAAAACCCTGGAGTTTAGGTCCAGTTGGCCATTAATGTCATTGGATACTTGCTGTGTTCCATCTGAGACAGGTAGTTCCATCTGAAACCTGTCAGGGTTTAGAGTTCGGTTGTACCAGAGGGACATAGGTGATGGAATTATCCATTCTCCTGTCCTTTGCCATATGTTTATGTTATCTGCCTGACCACAGGCTCCTTAAACTAAGAGAGAAGCTTTGCAAACAAGTCCTGCTTGATGCCACACTCATGTAGTTTCTGACTGTTCTGCATCCAGGATTGGCCCTTTGCTGAAACACTTTTACACAAAGAATGATCTTTTGGCTCTGCTTAGTTCTAACTCTGAGCCTGCAGCACTGACCAACTGCAATGTTTCTGTTGCTAAATCTTATTATTGCAGAGCAGAGTAAGGAATAACCCACCACCTGCATGTCCATCAGGGAGTGTTTGTTTCATTGGATCTGTGACTCATAACTTGACTGTCACATTGTCTCATCACACTCTTCATGTGAAAAATTAAAAGCAGTTGTGCTTCAGAAGCATCCCCAGACCTGAGTTACAACTGCTGGCTCTGTACTGAGTGTTTGCAGTGAAGTAGATGGTCTGGACAGCAAAGGCCAGTGGTGACACAGAACAGCAATCCTGGCTTGGGTGGGTCTTTCTCCCCTGACAGTTGTAGGATGAGCTGGCACCTGAATTAAAGGAAGCCTGCATGTCTGTTCAGGAATATGCAGTCAGTGCATTCCACATCTCTGTCCTAAAAATGAAAATGTCTGATTTCCATCAGTCTGTAAAAATTAGGTGTGGTTTCTGGAGTGTTTTCTTGGTGAGTCTCAATGCAGAAATGAGGGTACAGCTCCACTGGAAATTGAGTTTAGAAGGTAAATATTATTCTCGATGTGTGCTTTGTAGTCCCTTGTTTGCTCTGTGCTGCCTGGTTTATTTTTAAATTTATATTATCTCATTCTTTATTCATGTCTCACACAGATCATGTACTGAGCCTCTCATTTTGCTCAGTGCTTTATCAAACACACACTGAAAAACCAGCCCAAGGAGTTGACACTGTCAAACAGGAGACAGCTGGCAAGGATGTCAGCCTGGTAGTGGGAACATGGGATCAGCAGGGATCCTGGCACATGGCACTGAAGTGTTACCTAACAGAGCATGTCACCTAAAGCAACACTGAAGTGCCACGTGCACCATGGCAAAACAGTTCTCAGGTTTACAGCTAATAAGGTTTTTAGGAAGGGAACAGTTCTGTCCCAGCACAGGTGGGAGGAGTGGTGAGTGTTTGCAAGGAAGCCTTGAGATAGAACATTGAGAGCCTTGGTTTAGCTGTGTTCAGCTTAAATTGAGGGTTGAAGGCAAAGCAACACCATAGTCCCGAGCTGGGTGTTAACTAGAGAAAAAAATCACGCACAAAAGCAGATTTGTGAGTCACCAGTGATTGTTGCATTTGTGT